CGTGCTCCCGGGCGGGCGGGGGCAGTTGGGGGCCTCCGCGGGCCGGCGGAGGAGATGCGGCCCTGGGCGCCTCGCGCGGAGTTGGGCCGGCTCCCTCCGCAGAGGGAGAACGCGTTTGTCGTAAAAGAGCCCCAGTACGTTCGACGGGAGGTCAGCTTAGCTAAAAAGCAAATACTGAACTCAGTGACGCCTAGGGTCTAGGGGAAGGGGGGTGTCTGCACCTTTCTGGACAGACGTCACAAACGACCCCAGGCGGCGGGCGTCGAGGCGCCTGGGCAGAGAGCTGGTGGAGCCCATGTAGCAAAATGTAATAACGGAGGCGGCCGGTCTGAGTGTCCACAGCCCGCCCGCTCGCTCAACTTTGCTGTATGTTGACACATTTTCGTATTAACACCGGGGAGGGAACTATCTCCACCGCGTGCGACCTTTGTTAGCTACCAGCTGTGCTTTTTGTTCAGTTCGATTTAGGTATGTAAATGCTCCCTCTGGCAGGGAGACTGCAGTGGGGCCTGGCGCAGGGAGAGTAAGGATTTCTTCTGATTTGATTGTGTCCTTTAGCATCTTTACGAGAATATATAAATGCTTTCGCATGACTTGGCATGGCTTTAAAGAATGGATTTTCAGCAGGGGTGTTCCCGGAAATCAAAGCCTCCACGAGAGTTGGACAATGCCTGCTTTGCCGCAATTAGAGCTAAGAGTCTAACCCTGCAAGGCTTCCCCGCGAGCACTGCGTCACTACCCCTCGCTTGTCTTCCCTTTGGAGACAGGAACAGTGAGCAACTGAAGTCAGACATGTAATTGGTCTTTAAAAAGTGTAATTGTCTGGACAAGGGCTTCTGGTTTTCTTCTAGACTTCTAGGTCTTCCCATAGCTCAAGTTGCCCCGATCTAAAGAAATGTCGATTTGCACAGCATCCTGGGTCTTCACCTAGCTCCTTGGTGGGGGGAGGAGGGGTGAAAGGCTGCTTTACCTACAGGCAGTGGGTCCCTGCCAGGCTGACCCTGGGTGGGACAGAGCCTGCTGACGGTAGCCCCTGCGCCTGGCTGTGCTCTCTGGCCCGCTGGAGCAGGGAGGGGTCCGAGTCTTTGCAATGTGCTCACATCGTTTAGGAAGGGCGCACTGAACTGCCCCCGCCAGAGACACACAGGTAAGCTGGACTCAAGCAAGTGGCACTGATGGAGGAGAGGTGGCCGCAGAGGTTCAAGTGAGCTGTGGGACTCAGCCCGAGGCTTCTGGCACCAGGTTTCCCAGAGAGGGTCCCCACTAGTTTCCCAGAGAGGGTCCCCACCATTACCCTCATCAGTAAGTGTGGCTGGACCAGCCAACCGTGAGGGCTTTGCAGAAAGCCCTTCGTCAGATTTAAAGGCCACAGAAAGCGCTGAGTCACACTGCACGGCACCAGTCCAAAGCCAAATCTGTCCTCTCTCCTCAGGCCTCAGGGGTTGGTCACCTGACTGTGGGCAGCCAGGCTTCCTGAGATAAGACCTTCACCCCAGCTGCCAATCCACCCGCCCACTTCCTGACAGGCCCATCCCCAGCTTCACCTGCCAGGGGCTCCGAGCAGAGCTGCCATACCCCTGCCTTCCAGCTCAGGTGCTGACCTCTCAGCTGCCAGCACCCTGCTGGGCCCCAGTATGGTCCAGGGTCACCGCTCCAGTAAAAGCTGGGCTCTGGGGCTGGCTGCCTGGACTGGCCCCCAGAGCCACTCGCAGGCCTCCAGGAGGCCCCTGCCCTTGTTTTAATGATTTGCTGTTCTTGTCTTAAATTCGTTATAGCTTTTGGATTTGAATCAAGAGCCCAAGTTCCCCTTTTGCACTGGGCCTTGCAAATTACGCAGCAGGCCTGCTGGGGCCCTTGCTTGGATTTACTTCCTGAAAGCAAGAGGAGCTCTCAAAACATTGGGTTTTGTGGTTTAACCCCTTGCACTTAAAGAAAGAACTCATTTTACAGCAGAATAGGCGCCTGGGTTCCATTTGATAGGTATTTATTGAGTTCTGGACACACAGAGACAAATAAGATCTGGGGCCAGTTCTCAGGCCAGGAAGCCCTTGGCCTAATGTGCTTGAGACAATTTTGCCAGTCAGGTAGAGTTGGGAATGGGATAGGCCTAGTTAGCGTAGTCTGTGCGTCAGGGCAGGGCAGGCTTCCTGGAAGAGGGGCTGGTTATGTGAAATCTTAAGGGATCAGTAGGATTAACCCTATTGAAGGGTTGATATTGATAAGAGAAATGTATTCCAGACAAACTTTACACTCTGACCAGAAAGGCATAACAGGATGTGGGAGAGACTCTTGCAAGATAAAGGCATAGAGGATATTCTCATTTACAAGTATAAAAAGAAACTAAACGTGTCTATATAAAAACACATGTACCTTATAACAAATAATGGCCAATGTTACAAGTAAATAAAGCACACAGCATGTTGTCAGTGCCCTGGGGAGCCCCCACCTCCCCCACCCCCTCCTAGCTCTCCAGAGCAAATGGCGGAACTTGCTTCCTGCTCTTGTTCTCCAAGCAGCCCTTGGAAAACGGGTGAGCCAGTGTGCCAAGCCCCACTACTGGCCAAGATGCTGGCTAAGAAGCACTAGGCTGTGGGCGCCAGCCTAGGGTCTCCACACTGCATTTTTTTTTAGATTTATTTATGCAGAAAGAACTGGGGTACAGGCCAGAGATGCAGGGGTGAGAGGATTCACCAGAAACAGAGTGGGGAGCAGAACAGTCAGATCCACTGAAATCCACTGCAGGGCGGGTGTGGGGGGAGCAGCCGGGAGACAGGAGGGATCCCCTGCGCCCCGTGGGTTACTCCCAGCCAGGAATGGACTAAGGCCACCCCAGTGGCTGCCCATACCTTGGTGGCACTGAGACTATACCAGGCGCCACCAGGGAGCCCTCTTGGGAGTTTTATTTCAGTCTCTATACATTAGATTTCAAGGTCAGAAAAACAGCAGCGGCTTTAATCCCATCTCTGCTGTAATTCAAGTGAGGGCGAATGTTTGGACAGCTGGACTCACCCAGCACGCTGGGCAGGTCTTTCCCTTCAGCTTTCTAATTCCTTAGCTGAGACACTCCAGTGATAAGGGATGGTTAACGCAAAAAACAAATCAGATTTTATATAGCCCCCCCCCCCCAAAGGCACAGAGGCTGGAGACAGGCAGGTGAAGTGAGAGCTGCGGGCAGGGCCAGGGAGAAGGGGCCTGGCCTGGGGCCCAGCGGGGAGTAAGACAATCCTCAAGGAGATGGGAGAGGTAAACAGCGGCGGCCAGGTCACCGGACAGGCGCTGGGCCGGCTCTGACCAGGCCTGGCGGCGCCCTGCGCTCAGCTCGCTCTGCGCGGTCGCCCGCTGTGGGTCTCCCTGAGCTGGTCAGCAAACGTCCACAGTCTGCCGTTTCTTTAAAATCATGGCCCAAAACAACGCCCAAGAGACACAGTTGGGGCAGGAAATACTCTCCCAGACGGGTGCCTGCTTTGTGCCAGCTATTAACTTTAGGTGCTAGGAAACCAGTCCTGGACCCGGGCAAGGCGCGGCCGGCCCGGCCCCGGCTCCCGAGAACGGGGCTCACGGAGGCCGGGCTGGGCCCC